AATGAGTGTCCTACAACTATGGAATTAAAGCAGCAGCCATATCCAGACTGGTAGGAGGGGCGGAGGCCGACGGGCTGGTCCCACACCCACATGCGGCGCATAAAAATCAGGAGGATACATTGGCTGGGAAGGTCCTCCCTGAGGACTGAGGGGTCCCCGTCCCACACCAGGCACCCCACTCAGGGTTCCAGTGCCAGGAAGAGAATCCCCATAACTTCTGGCTGGAAAAACCAGCGGGAACTGAGGTCAGGGAGGCTGATGCGGCTGGAGCCCCCGGCAGCTCCCTAAAGGGCCCACACACGGACTTATTGGACTCACTCCCTCTAAGCTTGGAGGGGAGGCAGCTCAAGGGGCACCAGAGACACACAGGGAAGAACTGAGCTGTTTGGCACTGGAGCTGGGGCTGGAGAGGGGGCTTTTCTGACGTGCTGTCAGTGGCCTTTGTTCCTTTGGTGAGCCCTTCCCTGGGGTGGCAGACAGAAGCCATATCTGGGACTCCAGCAACCTGGCTCACACTGGTAGCCCCGCCCTGGTGATTCCCTGAGGCCCCTCCGCACCCAACATTCAGGCCCACCCAAGCTGTTGCCAATTGCTTAACCATAGGATTGGCCTGTCTTGGATCCTGCTTCAGGTTTTCCTAAATTCTTTCAAACAAGCAGCATCCGGTCTCAGCTAGCCCCATACCTCTTGTTAAGTAATACATAGAAACAAACACAGGGAGGCAGCCAAAATGAGGAGACAAAGAAACAGGTCCCAAATGAAAGAAAAGAACAAAACTCCAGGAAAAGAACTAAGCAAAATGAAGATAAGCAACCTAACAGATGCTGAGTTCAAAATACTGCTTATAAGGATGCTCAATGAACTTAGTGAGAACCTCAGCGAACTTAGTGAGGGCCTCAAGAGCATAAAAAAGGACCAGTCAGAAATGAAGGCAGCACTAACTGAAATAAAGAATAATTTACACAGATTCAATAGTAGAGTAGGTAAAGCCAAGAAGCAAGCCATCGACTTGGAATATAAGGAAGCAAAAAACACCCAATCAGAACACCAAAAAGGAAAAAGAATCCAAAAAAATTAGGAGAGTGTAAGGAGCCTCTGGGACAATTTCAAGTGTGCCAATATTCGCATCTTGGGGGTGCCAGAAGGAGAAGAGAGAGAACAAGAAATCGAAAACCTATTTGAAACAATAATGTCAGAAAACTTCCCTAACTTGGTGAAGGAAACAGACATACAAGTCCAGGAAGCACAGAGAGTCCCAAACAAGATGAACCCCAAGAGGCCCACACCAAGACACATCATCATCAAAATGCAAAAGGTTCAAGACAAAGAGAGAATCTTAAAAGCAGCAAGAGAAAGGCAGTTAGTTACCTACAAGGGAGTTCCCATAAGACTGTCAGCTGATTTCTCAAAAGAAACTTTGCAGGCCAGAAGGGAGTGGCAAGAAATATTCAGAGTAATGAAAAGCAAGAACCTACAACCAAGATTACTCTATCCTGCAAAGCTGTCATTTAGAATTGATGGCCATATAAAGAGTTACCCAGGCAAGAAAAAGTTAAAGGAGTTCATCACCACCAAACCGCTATTATATGAAATGATAAAGGGTCTTTTTGAAGAAAAAGATAAAATATATGAACAAACAAAATGGCAATGAATACATATCTATCGACAATGGAATCTACAAACAAAATGAACAGGCAGAACAGAAACATTCTCATAGATACAGAGAACATTTTGTTGGTTGCCAGATGGGAGGGAGGTTGGGGGAATGGGTGAAAAAGGTGAAGGGATTAAAAAGAACAAATTGGTTGGTAGACTGACAAACCTCAAAGATAAGGGGTTTGGGGGATGGGAAGAAATAAACCAAAGAACTTATATGCATAACCAATGGACACAGACAACAGTGTGGGAAAAGGAAGGAGAGGGGTGGGAGTGGGGGGGGGGGGAATGAGGAACATCTGCAATACATTCAACAATAAAGATAAAAAAATAAATGAAACAAAAAAATATGTAAAATACTTAAAACACTATGCAAAATCAAAAAGAAAGAAAGAAAGATAGAAAACTAATCCTAATCCTCCTAATCCAATCTTTTCACTTTCCAAAGGCCCAAGAGAGGAAAAGGACTTGTTCAAGGTAACACAGCTAAAACTGGAACTCAGGTCTCCTGATTCCAAGTCCAATTAGACACGTAAGTTTTTTGTTTCCTCTTTCACTTTAAACTATCCCAACCCACCACTGTCTGAGATCTGTTTTTTCTTTTTCTTTTTTATCTTCACCCGAGGGCATTTTTTTTTTCATCCTCACCAGAGGACATTTTTGCATTTTTTGTTCAGACAAAGTGGGAGGGAGAGAGAGGAAGAGAGAGAGAGAAACATCGATGTGAAAGCGACACATCGAGTGGCTGCCACCCACACGACCCAACCAGGGCCGGGGACAAACCTCAACCGAGGTACATGCCCTTAGCGGGAACCGAACCCGGGTCTCTCTGTACCGCAGGCCGACGCTTTAACCGCTGAGCCAAACCGGCCAGGGCACCCGAGGGCATTTTTTGCATTTATCTTCAGATAGAGCGGGAGGGAGAAAGAGGGGGAAGAGAGAGAGAGAAACATGGATGTGAGAGAGACACATCGACTGGTTACCACCCACACAACCCCAACCAAGGCCGGGGACAATCTGCAACCAAGGTACATGCCCTTACTGGGAACTGAACCCAGGATGCTCCGGTCTGCAGGCCGATGCTCTAACCACTGAGCCAAACCGGCTAGGACTGTTTTTCCTTATAGTCTCTAGGTTCATCCCCGGCCTTGGTCAGGGTTGTGCAGGAGGCAACCCTTCGTTCGATGCGTCCCTCTCACATCGATGTCTCTCCTGCCCTCACACTCTATCTGAAGATAAATGAAAAAATGTCCTTGGGTGAGGATAAAAAAAGATGCTTGTCTAAACATTCGAATTTTCATAATCCTCCTATCTTACCCTTACAGCACTGTAATAGGGCTTCCAAATTCCAGTTTGAGAAATCCTGAGCGAGGGACAGGATCTGAGAGTTTCCCCACTCTCCATTCTATGCCGAAGTCTCAAAGGAAGGAAAGGGAAGCTTAACAGGAGGATATGTCGGCTCCCCTTAGAAACACATCTGTTGGGATTTCATATGTTCTGCTCATTTCTTCTTTTTGCTTCTATATCAAAAGGGACTTTTAACACCTGTCTGGCAGCAGTTTCTTCACCCCCGCTCCTTCTCTCCCTCTCTGACACATTTAGCTGCTACATTATTAGGGGGGAAATGTTTGTTTGTTTTTCTAAGATACGAGGAGGAGCGTGGGGAGCAGAGCAGAGACATCAAAGGTGGTTCTAGCCAGGACTGCCAACCCACCCCAGTTGTGTGGCAAAGCAAAGCAGAGACTCTTATGGGGGGAAAATGAAGACAGAATGGAAGCAAAGAAAGTCAGCAATAAATTATAAAAGAGCTGCAATTTAAAATTGGGGTATATGAGGAGAACTGACTCTTAATTGATATAGTTAGATCTATGCAGAAAACTTTGCAAAAAGAAGCGAAGGATTGTAAACAAACATGCTGGCCAGCCCCTGTCCCTGCTGTTCTCATCTTCATCACTATAAAGTGCACAAAGTTTGTGACTATGTCAATCACGAAGAGAAAGAAAAATAAGGACATATACTGTGTTTTTCATAACACCAAATTTCTTTCATTTAAAGGAGTATTTTATATTCTGAGATTATATCCTTCCTTTTTTAGTTGTAAAACATTTCTTTTATAAAACCACAGTGAAAGTAGATGATAATTTATATTTTTTATGGGCTTCTTTGGCAACTTAAAAAAGTGATCACTAAGTTGCCTCACAACTTTTGGGGGTGGTGTCGCACTGTTTTGTAAAACCCAAATATCTGCTAATCTCCTACCTAGAATATATTCTAAATGGTAAATAGTTTCCTTTTTGCAACGAATTTCAATTAACATACCCTTCAAGGAGAGGACTTAACAAAATCTTACTTTTCATTAATTAACAGCTTTCTCCATAAAAATGTTCCACAAATATATCAAATTAGTCATAGCAACTACTGTTAAGTGCTTAATGAAACACGTCTTCATAACCTCTGACAATTTGACAGGAGTGAATTTAATAATAACAATAAATACAGATGGGACCACATAAATCAAGGGGGTCCTGATGTACAAACAAATTTTTTTTTTTTTTAATTTTAGAGAGAAAGGAAGGGAGAGAGAGAGAAAAAAAAACATCAACATGAGAGAGAAATATCAATCAGCTGCCTCCTGCACGCCCCATCCTGGGGATTAACCCCAAACCCAAGTCTGTGCCCTGACCAGAAATGGAACTGGGACCTCTCAGTCGATGGGACGACAGTCAATCCACTGAGCCACAACGGCCAGGCCTGATGCATAATTCTTGCTGTATTAGATGGCATCTCAGCTTTCTCACCTGAAATGAACCAACGCCTTGATTATAATGATGATCATAACAATAAGAAAAACATTCAAAATTAAATTTACACTCTTGGAAAGAATGCCTCTGTTCTTTTTGCCCACTGCTCACTTTACGTGTGTTGGACACAGGCCAAAAGGAAGCCCCAACAGACCAAAGGAAGCCCCAAAGAGAAGGCAGGATTTAGGTTGAGGACTTTGCCGTGAAGGCGAATACAGCAGTGGCTTCCCCGAGGTAGGCACTCTCGGCTGTTTACATTGTGCGGCAAAAAAAATGCAGTTGCACAGACTTTAGTCCAAAATTGTTTAAAGAGAGAATAGATTTAAGACCAAGATATTCTCAGTTCTAGGCAACCTTCCAAACTGCCTCGCCCGTCTTCCTCTAAGGTGGAGGCAGATTCTCCTCCACCCTCTATTCTCCTCTGAACCCCTTCCCTTTCCAGCACCTCCCATCTCAGGAGGAGTTTGCCCGGGATAGGCTTTATGATGCACATCCCTGCTGCCCGGCTGCTTATGGGAGATCACTGGCCCCAGCCCACAGTACTTACAGAGCTGTTTCTCTTTGAGGATCTTCACCCTTTTTGCAGAGCTAAAGGCAAACACAACAAGGGCAATGAGTTTTGTGGCTTTTTAAAAGCCCATTCATCAAAATTTTGAATGCATCAAGGGATAGGAAACTCAGATGGCTGATACTCTCCTCCCTAGAAAAATACACACCCATACAGAGGTGGCTAGAATCTACAGCTGCCTCTGCACTGGTCCAGGTCTTATTTCTTTGGCTACATTAATTATTTTTATTAAATCTAGAGAAGGTGTAATTCTTTTTTTACTTTATGTTTATTAGTGAAAGTATTACAGATGTCCCTCCTTTCCCCTTCCACTGACGCCCTCCTACGTGCTCCTGCCCTGCTCTGCCCTCACTGCACTGTTCTTAATTCAAAATGCTTCCAGGATTCATATGTAGCTGAGTATTTCTTCTCCTCCTCCTCCTCCTCCTCCTCCTCCTCCTCCTCCTCATCCTTCTTCTTCTTCTTCTTCTTCTTCTCTTCTTCGTAGGAAAATATTATCTTTGGCTTGAAACAAGGGGTGGGTGAATTTCTTCCTTGGAGACATTGTTGCCCTGAATAATACCCAGTTGCCAAGTGTTTCAAGAAGAGTGGCTTTTGCTGGCTAATGAACTCGGCCTAGGCCACACTCGCCTTCCTTTAGTCTAAAGGAGTTCTCAACCTTCCTAGTGCCACGACCCTTTAATACAGTTCCTCATGTTGTATGTGGATGGATCTGCATGTGGGCGGACCCGCCTGGAGACAGATGGGGGAGCAGTGTCTCGGTTCCTAAGACCATCGGAAATATATGTTTTCCAATGGTCCTAGGCGACTCCTGTGAAAGGGTCGTTCGACCCCCAAAGGGGTCGCAAAGCACAGGTTGAGAACCGCTGCTTTAGAGGCTTTCTGCCATATTTGCCTTTCTTTGGCACTGGATTAAGTGGTGGAGTTAAATGCCTGCCATTAATCTATGCACACACATACTCTGCATCGTGCTAACCAACAAGCTTAACCATCCAACAGTTCAAACTCCAGCCCACCACAGCCAGGGCATGTGGCTGTCCCCGGAAGGTGAGCAGCAGGTGCCATCCTCTTCACGCAGGTCCCTGAGTCTACCGCAGATGCTCCCCTCTGTATTTATTTATTGTACTAAAGGCGCTCCCGTGACAATAAAAGGACATTTATTTTATTTATTTATTTTTTTAAACCAGGAATAGAGTTTAATCCTGAATCCACATTTTAGAATAAAATCAAAAAGGAAATATAACAACATATTACATCTTGGATTTAAGTATACAGAATAACACTTGGAAAATATCCAAACTGTTTTGAAGAGAAAGTGAGCTGGTGAAATGAGAAAACTCATATTTCCTATGATTACCAAACATAAAGTCTGCTATGAAATGTTCATCATTCAAACAGGCTTCCCCTCAAAGGACATTTCAAAGGAAGAAAAATCAGCCCCTAAATCCTCTACCTCAAACACCACAGCAATTTCCATTCAGGTCTTGTCCATAAGCACTTCTTTTCTTTGTAAATCTGTACTCATAATATATGAACAATTTTTATTCCCTTAAGCAACTTTCATTTTAGGTCACATGGTAGAGAGACCAGATTGTCCAAGTATGGCTTCTAACTCCAGTCACTTATATAGCTAGTTCTTGGCCTTTATTTATTTATTTTTAATATTTTTTCTTTATTGATTTTAGAGAGAGAGGAAGGGAGAGGAAGAGAGAGATAGAAACATTGATGAGAGAGAACATTGACTGGCCACGTCCTGCGTGCCCCCCAGTGGAAATTGGGCCCACAACCTGGGCATGTGCCCTGACTGGGAATTGAACCAGCGACCTCTTGGTGCATGGGCTGATGCTTAACCACTGACCCACACCGGGTTCTTGGCCTTTATTTAGATGACCTTTTACCTAAATAGGTTAGAATAACTTAGATACCTTCATTATTCTTTTCCTTCTAGCAATCAGTCCGAAGCACAACGTCAGAAAGACCACCACAGCTGCAGCAATAATGGGTTCAATTGGTATAGTCGAACCTCTTTCTGTTGGAAATGCAAACACAAGGCATGAGAACTAACATTTATATGCTTCTAATTTATGGACTTCTAATGTGCCCCAGCCATGGTGCCTTGCACTTTACATACATATATCAGCCTCTTAATTAAATCCTCCCAATAGTCGCGAAAGGTAGGTATTATTATCCCCGTTTTGCAGGTGAGGAACCAGGGGCTTTGAGAGGTTAGTTTACATGTTCAAAGTCACACAGCTGTTAACAGGCAGAGACAGGTTATGAATCCATTCCTTTGTGGGAGGAGAAATTCTGTTAGTATGAGTAACTCCCCCAAAGCAGGTAGGCGGCCCATTTTGTGCTTTCTTCATCAATAATTTTTGCTGTGCAGAAAGCAGGCGTAGACTGAAGTCAGCAGTTTCTCCTGCCTTTTGAAAAGTTCAAAAGATATCAGGAGGTACCCCAGAGAGGAAAAGAGGGAAGAAAGCATTAAGAGCAAGACGAGAAAAGGTGCAGAGCTCAATGGACTACAGAGAGAGAGGCCTGTAGACCCCAGGAGCTATCCTGGGATAATACCCCAAGCAGGTGACAAGACACCATAGAAAGTGGCTGGATGGCACCCCCAGGGAAGTAAGACTTAGCACCAGCCTTCCCAAGCTCAGCAAAAATATTCATACCTTTCTAAAGGACATGGAAGAACAGAGAGTCTACGTCTAACTTAAACTAGAAAGAGATCAGCAGCAACCATGACAGCCTGGAAATGCAAGCCCATTCCCGTGTCTTCTGAACATCAGGTATTCTGTTCATCAGGCACTATGGGCACAGGTGCCTGTGACTGCAAGCTTTCCAAGAACCTACAAAAATATTTGAGACCTGAAAAAAAACATATTGGCTCCAAAATATGAAAAAGTGGCGAAGTTATTCAAAATGAATAAATGTTTAAACATCTATAGAATGTAACTTTGTGTCAATTATAACCCAACTGGTAAATAATAATAATGTGTAAACCTTAAGAACCACATTAATGATTTATTTATAATAAAATTCAAAATGTATGAAGTTATAAAAATCCTATCAAAGTTTTTACAGCAAATGCCTTGACCGGTGTGGCTCAGAGCGTAAGTCCTCGTATCAAAGGATTGAGGGTTCAATTCCCAGTCAAGGGCACATACCTGGGTTGTAGGTTTAATCCCTGGCCCTGGTTGGGGCTTGAGCAGGAGGCAACAATCAATGTGTCTCTCTCACATCAATGTTTCTCTCTCTTTCTCTCCCTCTCTCCTCTTCTACCTTCCTCCCTCTTTTCCCCTTTTCCTAAAAAGCAATGGAAAAAATATCCTTAGTTGAAAATTAACAGCAACAACAAAAAAGTATGTGTGATGTGCTTCATTTGACTATGTTTGATATAATATGGGATGAAACTTTCAAAAGCAAGAGTGCTTAAGATCAACAAAGGTATTTTAAATGACCCTGCCTAAGCCCCTAGACTCTGATGCCCTAGGAGGGAAAGGGCTCCAATCACAGTTAAGATAAAATTGTAGGAATTTAGAGTGTACTATTTATTTTACAATTGAATTTGTGGAGAGATGTACAGTAGTCAACAAATATTTACTGGATGACCACATTTTTTTTTAAGAATATATATATTTTTTTATTGATTTTAGAGAAAGAGGAAGGGAGAAGGATAGAGAGACAAAAACATCAATGAGAGAGAACACAGACTGGCCACCTCCTGCATGCCCCCACTGGGGATTGGGCCCACAACCTGGGCATGTGCCCTGACCAGGAATTGAACCAGTACCTCTTGGTGCATAGGCTGATGCTCAGCCACTGAGCCACATCAGCCAGTCCTGAAGGGATACTGTGTGATAGGTACTATGCTCGGCCTTGCAAAAAATAGGACCAACATGGAAGCCTTCTGCCTTTTTGGAGCTCATCTTCTAGTGGGGGAGACAGACATTAAACAAACAAAAACTGCACATTGAGATAGGTATTATACAGGACACAGGGTCATGAGATAGTGCAGGAGGGGTGAAAGGCAGGGAGGAAGGGAAGGAAGAGTCTTCAGATAAATCTAATTTTAAAGCCCAAGCTCTATGTGCCTCAAGATGACAGAACAGGGTTTATCCCTCCATAGTGGTATGACACACTAACTGATTGCCTTTTCATTGTTTTATTCTCCATGTTTGTTCAGTTCCTGCTCAAGATAATTTTGGGAAGTACATGGATTAATCATCCTTTACTCTTGCTCTTTGGTTGTTGCTAAAATATAACTCTCATGAGGTTGTGGGATGCATCAACCCTCTGGAGAAACTTCCCAGCCGGCCTTCTTATGAGCCCTGATGCTGTCATTGCAAGCCCCGGGGCACACCAAAGGACCTTCAGCTTACCCGGGGACCCCTCTTCTCTCAGTGCCAAGGGAAGGTGTCAAAATGAAGGGGAAGCGACCATGGGACAATTAGGAAAAGAAATCAGAATTCAGGCACAAGTTGGAATATTTATACTAAACGGAATAAAAGGAACGCCCATGCGACAGCTTTCCCTCTATGAACAAGCTGAAATACACTCTCCGACCCATTGGCTCACTCTGGATTCCAAGTGTCAGTTAAAAGTGACTTTGGCAAAGGTAACTGCATCTCTCCCCTTGTCCAGTCTTACTCTCTTATTTGTAACCAGACCTGGTATTTTCCTTCCATGTTCATATGGTAAAATAATGCCAACACGTGGGCTCAAATTTTGTGCTCAAGAAAAAAGATCCGTGATGTCATTTAGCTTTGCATGGCCTCATCGAAACTACCCCGCGGAGCTGTGCAGTTGAGAGAGGCTCATGACAAACTTGGCAGTTAGCCTGGCCACCAGCAGCAGAACGCTTATGCCGAGAAGGCAGCCAACAACCAGGGAAATAATAAAGCAGGAAGAAATAAGAAAAACAAATTGGCTTGGAAGCGCTCTACCCCAAACAGGATTCTGCCCACCTGAAAGCCAATTCATCAAGCTGGCATCCTGCTTGCCACACAAGCTGTATATTTTGTATGTGACATAGAGCAGCTATGATTCCTTTTTAACCAAGAGGAATGATATAGCTCCCCAGTCTCTGCATGTGGTCTTTACAGCCAATTGGAATGGGATGGCCTGAGGCCCCCACCAACCATGCTTTTGTGGTCCTGGGGGAAGTGAATAGCCACAGGCTTCAACATGGCACCCCTTCCACTGATTCTTAGCTTATTTGTGGGTTTGGTTTTTAAAGCAAGTAGCCCCCGGGCAGTACTGCCGGGGTTCTTCAGGACAAACGACAAAACATGCCAGTATTCCCAGTGACGGGCAGCAGCTCTTCCTCCCCACCAGCCACTCCCCACCTATACCCCCTGACGGGGAGGGGAAAATAAGTCACATCAGTCCAACACTTCTGGCAGCAATTCAATTGGCTTCCTGGCAACTGGCAAGGAAGGCAATGAGTGGGCAAATGATAAAGTGAATAATGTTCTAACAAGATATATGCGCCTCAGCTTATTTGGCTGCTCCTAGCTGACTGGCCCCAGGCCAGGAACTGCGCCGGAGCATTTTCTGCATTTGCTACACCAGGTATCTCGTCTTTCTCTTTTTGTATGAACAAGAAATATGAGGAGGGAAAAACACTTGGAGCTTCATTTATCCCTGTATGGCAGAGGGGAAAAACCTGGGTAGATGAAGCATGAAGCCAAGAAAGAACTCACCGCCCCCCATGTCCTCCCACTCCCTCTTCTGATTAGTCTGTAAATTACAACGTCAGACTTAGGGGTGATTGGAGGAATCCATTTTCTCCAGTCAGCACCGTTTTTACTATATGTTTCTGACTTCTCTTTCGTTTGTCATTATGCTGAGAACTCAAAAGTCCATATTTTATGAACCTTAATGCCCAGGAGAATTCATGGAAATTCGTCTCCCTAAAAGCCTATCAGAATCATCTTCTCCCATATAGGTCTAGAAAAGGATCTTTGCTCAAAAAGCAGTGTCCTCTATGGAACGGGCATAATTCCCCTAAAAAGGATTAGAATTCTTTGTGGAAAATCCTTGAATGGAATAATCTACCAAAGAAAAACCCAGCTGCTAATCCTAATTGTCACCATTTGCCGTCATGAAAAATATTTACCGAGTCTCTATTCTGAGTTTCATGCTGTGCTGGATATTACTTAAAAAGAGAATTACCTTTGACAAAGAGGTGAAAGTCCTTAGTCTTTATTTGCCATGAACTTGCAAAACACCTGTAGGTTCCATTGTCAGATTTCTTGACTTTGGTGATTGACAGTTGAAGAGACTCACTCGTCTGTTGGATTTGGTGATGGTTTTTCTCTAAGTTTAGGATGCTACTGTTTTTGTACCACAGCATTTGAGCCTGGGGGTTGGATTTCACATTGCAAACCAGCTTCACATCACTGCCTTCCTCAACCGTTTGGAAATCGTCTCCACTTAGGACAGGAGGAACTGCAAGACCCAAGCATTTAGGTTTAATTAGCAGAAAAGCAGTAGTTTACTGTCAGTGTTCAAGATCTTCCTTCAGTTTATCTCAGGTAGTCATTTATTCATTTGACAGAAATGTATTGAGTGCCTCCTGTATGCCAAGCACTGGGCTAGGAACCAGGGGCACAACGGTAAATAACATCCATCCATTTCCAAACCTAATAGAACTTTTAATGTGGTGGAGAAGACAAACCATGAAACAAATATATATAATAATGAATCTGTACCAACTTGTAACACTACCCAAGGGTACAGGCCTTGAGTCTTTTCTCTCTGAGAATTAATGTAATAAACCACTCTGTGCTAGTGTTGGATAAAACAGTATAATACTAAGAAAGCAGGTATTGCCGTTGGCTTTAATTCCATCTACATCGCTTACTATGACCTTGAGAAAGTTACTTAACTGCTAAGTAACTGCTCAGTTTTCTCATCTAAAAAATGAGATAATAGCTACCTCTATGAAGATTACATGAGATAATGCCTGGAAAGAATTTACTACAGTGCTAGTTAGTACTACTACTATTGTAGCGGTAGTGGTTTTGAGCACTCTTCACAACCTCTATTTTCACATTTTACCTAACCACATTTGCCTCGGCCACATATTTACCAATGCATAATTGCATTTCCTCAATAATCCTCTAGAAATAAAATCCTCCTCCCAGAAGGTGTTCCAGTCATGGCAACTCCAGCATCTATGGGAGGCAAGCGTGATTTTCTGAATTCCTTTCATCCCTCTGTGTGAGCAACTCCTTAATTCCTCCATAAGGGCAATGGTAGACCCATAAATAGTCAAACACATTTATCTTCACCAAATCATTCCAACTCTCATCCCCCCTGGGCCTTTTCAACATCTAGGAGGAGAAATGGCTGAGCTGACTCTCCCCTCTTTTCCACGACCTTTGCTGTTTCTGGACAAGGTGCAGAAGAGTAATAAAATGTCTGAGAAGTGTGCTGTAGGAAGGAGGTAAAGGCAGAGAAGGAGGGAAACAGGAGCTTGCATCATCTGCACACTGAATAATTAGACCCTGAGTAGGCTGTGCTATTAATAACTCTCAGAAGAATGACATTTTGTTGCTCTTTGGAATGAGCTTGAATTCTGTATCCATATCCAACAAGGATGTTATATGGTATTCAGATATGTAGGAAGCTGCTAGAATATAGAACATAGTTGCCAAATAGACCAGTTCCACCAGATCCACGGGTCCTATTAGTTGTTCCTTTATATATATCTATTTAAAATTACCCCTGGCTGATTTGGCTCAGCGGTTAGAGCATCAGGCTGCGGTCCAGGGAGACCTGGGTTTGGTTCCCGGTAAGGGCACGTATCTCGGTTGCAGTTTGTCCCCGGTCCTGGTTGTGTCATGCAGGTGGCAGACACTCGATGTGTACCTTTCACGTTGATGTTTCTCTCTCTCTCTCTTCCTCTATCTCCCTCCCACTCTATCTGAACAAAAAATGAAAAAATGTCCTCTGGTGAGGATTGAAAAAAAATTAATTTTAAGCTTATCACCTATACGTGAATATTCCCTTTTTAAAAAAATTAATACATTTCAAGCCATGGCTGTGTAGCTCAATTGGTTAGAGCATCATCCAGATATGCCAAGGTTGCAGGTTCAAACCCTAGTCAAGGTACACACAAGTATCAACTAATGAATGCATAAATAAGTGGAACAACAAACAAATAGATGTTTCTCTCTCGTTCCCTTTCTTTCTCTCTCTCTTTCTCCCCCCTCTTTCAAATCAATACTTACAAAAATAATAATACCTTTCAGATAAAGTTCAGGTCCTCAACTCTATCCTCATCATTTCCTGACTCCTTAGAGATATCCACTGCTATGCGTTTGGTATAAATCCTTGCATCTTTTTTATTTAAGTAGTTTTTTTAATACATATAATGTACCCATAGGAAATATATTGTATTGTTTTAGGAGCGTGAAAAGGTTTTACATAAAAGACTTCCTTCTCTCAATAACTTGAATGTTTTTGAGATGTTGTGACATTGAACCACAGGGCTCTCGCTCCATTGCTTTCAGAGTACTAAAGTATAATATATGACTCTACTTTTATTTTATTATAACTTAGGGTGTTTTCACTTTTAAAATGTTAAACAATGCTTCAATAAATATGCTTGTCTATGTCTCTACACACATGTGCACGTGTTTCTCCAAGGTTAACATCTAGAAGTAGAAACATGGGATCTCATAGGGTAGGCACACTTTAGATTTTGATATATTGGCCCAGCCGGTGTGGCTCAGTGGTTAAGTATCGACCCAAGGCACGTGCCCAGGTTGTGGGTCAAATCCCCAAGAGGGGGGCATGCTGGAGGCAGCCAGTCAATGTTCTCACTCATTGATGTTTCTATCTCTCCCTCTCTCTCTAAACTAAATAAAGAAAAAAAGAATATTAATATATTGCCAAAGAGGTGGTGTCAATTTATACTTTTAGCAACAATATATGAAAGAACCTGTTTCTTCACAGACTCTCCCAAATAATGTATTATCAATTGCTATTTATAATAATAATAATAATAATAATAATTCTCAGGATTGTACATGCTATTCTTGTCATTTTTATGACCTCATTTTGATTTGATTGATGAGTTTGTATCAGTTTGTCACTATGAACCACTGACCAATTGGTTTTTTGATATGTGTTTAGCAACAATAATATTTAGGAGGTTGTTATGAAGATGATTTTGAATGTGGATTCAGCCTGGAAAACTGAAAATAATCTTCTTCTTTTTTGTTTTTAATCCTTACCTGAGGACATTTTCCCATTTCCTTTTCAGATAGAGTGGGAGGGAGAGAGAGGAAGAGAGAGAGAGAAACATCGATGTGAAAGGGACACACTGAGTGGCTGCCACCCGCACGACCAACCAGGGCCGGGGACAAACTGCAACCGAGGTACGTGCCCTTAGCGGGAACTGAACCCGGGCCTCTCTGTACCGTAGGCCGACGCTCCAACCGCTGAGCCAAACCGGCCAGGGCTGAAAGTAATCTTTTAAAGCCACCAAATCATATTGGCATTTTTGCTATGTCTCCCTAGGGGAGCAGCCCTAGATTAAGAGCCTGGGGATGTGTGTTCTGTTTCCAGCTCCAGTTGTGATCATTCTGGCCCTCAGTCTGAGCCTTAATTTCCTTATATGTCATGTTATAGGGATTACAAGATCTCCAAGGGCCCCTGATAATATTAGATTCTACCAAAATATGCAAGAGGAAGCTTGCTAAAATTACATGTTATTAATTCCTAGCAAAAACAGAAAACAAAAAACACCCCAAACTCCTTTTCTCAGGAACAAGCAAATGATTCACTATGGAAACTCAAGATGCAGGTTGCCAGTATTTTCCAGAGCTGGATTCTTTGGCAGTTTCTTCAACCTTTTTTAAAAATACATGTTTTTATTAATTTTAGAGAGAGAGGTAGGAAGAGAGAGATAGAAACATCAATGAGAGAGAACATCAACTGGCTGCCTTCTGCATGCCCCCCACTGGAGATTGGGCCCACAACCTGGGCATGTGCCCTGACCGGGAATCGAACTGGCGACCTATTGGTGTGTGGGTTGATGCTCAACCGCTGAGTCACACAGCTGGGCAGTTTCTCCACTCTTTTATCTCAGGAACAATGGCATCAATTTTTCACAGAAAAGCTTGCTGAACTTGAATCCAGAGCTCTTTCTACCAAACCATACCGCATCACCACCCTAACCCACATTGCCCCTCACCCCACCATCCACACCACCTCATGTGGAACCAGCTTTCCACCCAAACCATGATCACCTACACAGAATCATCTGAAAGACCCCTAATGCTATATAGTTCCACCAATGGGTAATCAATTCCTGCAACCCAGCCAGCAAAGAGCTTCATCTTTTGAGGTTTTAAACACGGAACCCTCATTCTTAATTTAGAAAATTAAAATAAAATTTCATATCAAGCTGGCAAATTTAAACTCAGTGCTCAAGAGGGTGAGGGGAAATAGGCACTCTCATGCTTTGGTGAGGGAGTATAAATAGGACATTTTGGCAATAGCAAGCAAATGTTAAGATGCACATACTCTTTAGACCCAGATTTCAACTACCACTTAATGTAGTGCAGACAACACAGACTGACTGGCAGTTTCTTCCCTTCACTCACAAGTGACATTCAGCACCACTGAGATGGACACCGACTGATCCCTCTGCAGCTTGCAGGTAAAGGTGACGCCGTGGTCATTTTCACTGATGGAAGACACACACACAGCGCTGGAATTGATTTTGTTTCCAGACTTCAAGTCCACTGTCCCCCCTTCTCGGTACCAGAGAAGTTCTTCATCCCCAGTGTGGTTTTGAACAGCACACTTCAGAGATTCTTCAGAGCCAAGCTGAGTGTTCAGAATATAGTTCTCAGTTTTATCATTCACAGTTAAAACCGAACCTGGGAGGACAGGAAAAAACTGTTAAGACAGAGTGAACATGAGCAGTAGAAACAAAAGAAAAAAATAAACAAATGGGACTACATCAAACTAAAGAGTTTTTGCACAGCAGAGGAAACCATCAACAAAATGAAAATGCAATCCACTGAATGGGAGACCATATTCGCCAATAATACACCCGATAAGGGGTTAATATTCAAAATTTATGAAGAACTTATAAAACTTAACACCAAAAAAATTCAATTAAAAAATGGGCAAAAGACCTGAATGCACACTTCTCAAAGGAGGACATACAGATGGCCAATAGACATGTGACACATGCTCAATGTCACTAACCACCAGAGAAATGCAAATTAAAATGACAGTGAGCTATCACGTCACACCTGTCAGAATAAATCAACAACAAATCAACAATAAATCATCAAACAACAAGTGTTGGGGAGGATGTGGAGAAAAGGGAACCCTCATGCACTGCTGGTGGGAATGCAGATTGGTGCAGCCACTGTGAAAAGCAGTATGGAGTTTCCTCAAAAAACTTAAAATAGAACTGCCTTATGACCCAGCGATTCCACTTCTGGAACTTTATCCAAAGAAACCTGAAACACTTGTTTGAAAGAATATATGCACCCCTATGTTCACTGCAGCGTTATTTACAGTAGCCAAGATTTGGAAACAGCTCAAGTGTTCAACAACAGCAGATGAGTGGGTGAAAAAGCGGTGGTACATTTACTCAATGGAATACTACTCTGCCGTAAAAAGGAAGGTGATTTTACCCTTTGCGACAGCATGGATAGACCTGGAGAACATTAGGCTCAGTGAAATTAGCCAGTCAGAGAAAGACAAGTACCATATGATTTCACACTATGTGGAATCTAATGAACAGACTGAACTACCCAGCAAAATAGAGACAGACTCGTAGAAAGCAGGCAGACAGCTCTGGTGAGAGGGGTGTTGAAGCGGGTCGGGGTGGGCAGGGAAAGTGTGGAAGGGATTTTGAAGAAAAGAGAGAGAGAAAGAACTCACGGACATGGACAACAGTGTGGTGTTGGAAGGAGGGAGGGAGAGAGCGTGAACAATCTAAATGACCATGAATATTACACCAGTACAATGGAATACTTTGCAACAAATTAAAATAGTCCTATTGATCTACATGATTTTACAAGGAAAAAGATTCATAATGTATTATTAACTAGCAAAAGAAAAAGCTTAAAATGATGATCACCAAATTTTGCTGTCCATCGGAATCACCTGGAACTCTTTAAAAACTTACTGACATTCTTATTAATTGATAGTGCAACCTGAGCATTGGGTTTTAAAAAAGCCCCCAGATGATCTTAAAGTGCAGTGAAGTTTGAAAACCACTGGGTTAGAAAACAGAACATACAGAATTACTCCACTTACACACACACACACACATACTTATGAGAAAAAGTGTTGGGGAAAAAATTCTATCAATATATATGGAATAGCATTGATAAACAGATAAAAAAGTGGAGAAATACTAGATTTAATTTGTTTACTTTAAGGGGGTGAATGTAGCAAAGTAGTAAATACAAAGAAAAAAGAACTATGATAAAATGGAAAAATATTTAAGACACAACATTAGGAGAATAGGCAGAATGTAAATTATGTCTCTAATAATTACTATAAATATATCAACATTGCATACGAGCAAAAACCAATTTGAAAATATTTCTGATTAGATCATAGAATTTGGTCTTCCATTTCTGATGTTTTAATATTGTGTTGTTACAGTGAAATAACAAGATATTTAAACAGCTATGGTTTGTGGGATGGATAAGTCATGGTGGAGGGGAATATCAGCATGTATAGTACTTTGTTTTCATCTCTCATTTTTAGAAATTCATCCGTCATATAGTAACATACCCAAATTTCAGTTTTTACTTTCCTGGTTTGGAAGCAAGTAACAAAAGGTTAAAAATGACTTTAGAACATCTGTAACAAAAATAAAGTTAAAAAAAAAAGACTTTAGCCACCAGAAACTTGCCCCCTACATAACATTTGTTAATATAGTTTGTGAACCCATAAACTTTTTTTTTAATCCTCACCCGAGGACATTTTTGTATTTACCTTCAGATAGAGCAGGAAGGAGAGAGAGAGAAACATCGACTGGCTGCCACCCATACAACCCCAACCAGGGCTGGGAACAAACTGCAACCAAGGTACGCGCCCTTAGTGGGAACTGAATCCAAGTCTCTCTGTTCCGTGGGCAATGCTCTAACCGCTGAGCCAAACTGGCCAGGGCACACATTAACTTTTTCTTTAAAAACAAAAATAAAAAACATAAACTACTGGAAAAAATAATGAGATTACTACCTAACCTTTTTTTTTTTTTTAAACTGGAAGACTGTACACCAAAATGTTGAACGGCTATGTTTGGATGATGGCATTTGGGGAGATTTTTACCTTTATGTTTTTGTGTATTTCCTAATTTATTTTACAATAATTTTATATTACTTTTAAAATCAAGGGAAGAAGCTACTTCCAGATTTGGGTGAGAAAGAAATGCAGAAAAGATTTTCATGTAAGTGGTATGTTCAGATAAACAGCAGAAGATTATTTTGGATATGATTAGTAATAAAATGCATTAAAATGTAGGAAAATTCTGGCCGTGGCTCTGGAGCGAATCCTTCATCTTGCTTGTACTATGAGCACTATAAAAATATTTTCCATTTAATTTTTTATGATGCTATCTGACTCCTGTACTCTGAATCAAACCAACTCTGTAGTCATTCCAATGTGGATTTTGGAGTTTTCCAGTGCCCACCAATCATTTTTAACCTGAAATGTTTCTTTCTTTCTTTATTTATTTATTTATTTATTTTTTTTTTTTTTATCCTCACCAGATTTTCCATTTTTTGTTCAGAGTGGGAGAGTGGGAGGGAGAGAGAGGAAGAGAGAGAGAGAGAGAAACATCGACGTGAAAGGGACACATCGAGTGGCTGCCACCCGCACGACCAACCAGGGCCGGGGACAAACTGCAACCAAGGTACGTGCCCTTAGCGGGAACCGAACCCGGGTCTCTCTGGACCGCAGGCCGACGCTCTAACCGCTGAGCCAAACCGGCCAGGGCTGAAATGTTTATTTAAAGAGGCAGAACAAATATGAACTTACTTGTCATTTCACGTGGCAGAAAGACAATCACTAAGAGAAGAAACCTGCACATTCTCCTTAGGCCACTGCTGTTCGGTGCCATCCTTGATGAAGTTAAGTCAGATCTGCTGGGGGAAAGAATGCAGTTGTTTCTGTACTTTGGGCCACACTGAGTTTATGAACCTTCATCTTGTCTATTAGGCACTTAAAGTCCCAGATGAGTCATCCCTGTTGCAATGGTACTTTCTAGTTTTTAAACAATCCTGTTCTGACTACTGAGTTCAAAGTGCTTTCCGCATTAAAACATATTTTCTTTCTTTTTTTCTTTTTTTTTTGTGGTACATGCCCCTAGCGGGAACTGAACCCGGGACTCTCTGGTCCACAGGCCGATGCTCCAACCCCTGAGCCAAACCGGCCTTAAAACATTTTTTAAGGCAACAAAATCAAAGGAGATAAGCTATAAGGTATGGCGCCGCCGTAGGACAGCCCTGGGGAAGGTAAAACCAGCCCCCCCCCCCCCCCGGGGAAACTGAGAAAGTCATTTTCACAGAAAGGGAAAGGAAGCTTGTTTCAATCTTAGACAGTCCCTCCTCAACCAAGTACATCTTGTATTGAAAGCTTCTCTTGGGTCATTTTTGTAAAGTTGCTTTCTGCTAATAGAGAGGGGTTTTTTTTGAGACTATTCCAAATTCCATAGATTCAAATGGTGTGTACCTCAGGAAAGAGTCTATCACAACATTTCCTCTAGTCTTAACCTTGTTAACCTCTGCTTTCCCCATCCCTCCACAGCTCTCCCACTCGGAACACTCCTCCCCCTTCACTTAGTATGGCCTAAAAACAACAAATAAGAAAGGTCTCTTTTTCTTCTGTGCTTTGCTGTTGTCATCCCTCTCTCTAAAATATTCTCCACTTCCATCCAGGAAAAAAAAAACCCACGTGTATTTATTCCTTTCAAGAGACCCACTGTGAATAGAGTAGAAACACATATGGAATGCTTTCTATGCAACGGACACTGTGCCAAACACTTGACAAACACCGTTTAAATCTCAAGTAAGCCCCTAACAACCCGCCTGAGGTCATTTCTAAAGGTTTGGAGAGGTATATAATTTGCCCAAGATCCCAAAGACAGTAAATATCAGGGACAGCATTTGAACCCAGGACTCCCAAGGCCATGCTTTTCACCACCATATTGCCTTGATTAATATTCTCTTCCTTTAAGAAGCTGCTGTGGCCCTGGCCAGTTTGGCTCAGCAGTTACAGTGTCGGCCCGCGGACCAGAGAGTCCTGGGATCAGTTCCCACTAAGGGCACGTACCTCAATTGCAGTTTGTCCCTGGCCCCTGTTGGGGTCGTGTGGGTGGCAACCAGTCTGTGTGTCTCTCTCACATTGATGTTTCTCTCCCCCCCCCACCCCCCCCGCTCTATCTGAAGATAAAAAAAGAAGCTGTTGTGGCTCTGGCCAGGTAACTCAGTTGGTTAGAGCATCGTCCCAATACCCCAAGGGTGCAGGTTCGATCCCTGGTCAGGGCACATATAAGAAGCAACAAATGAATGCATAAAGAAGTGGAACAATAAATCGATGTTTCTCTCTATAAATCAAAAAGAGAGAGAGAGACAGAAGCTGTTGTCAATCCCTTCTGTTCCCTGGCTACGACCTTAGCAACTTAAGAGTTTTGTCCCCATCCCAGGTCTGTCCTGACAGGAACAAGTTTCGTTCCCGCCAGGCTCACCCTTTCTGGCTGGCAAGCTTGCATCAATCTTTCAATAAGATGCAATTAGTACTAATATTGATTGTTTTGTAATTTTATAATCTTTCCAAAAAGATTTCTATGACAGCATTGTAACAGCAGTGATTTCAGAATTTGGTCATTAATAGAGTTTTCTCAAGGACTGTTCACTGTAGGTGCTGAATAGAAACTGAAAGTATACCTTCTTAGGGAGGAAGACTGCTTTCTCTTCTTCCTTCCCACCCCACCAAGACAGCAACCTTTCAAAACAAATTTCCCTCACTTGACATGTTTTTTAATTTTCACGACTCTCTACTTTCTATACGAAACAGGCTTACCACTTACCTGCTGAGCTTTGAAAAGCTGACTTCCTTGGCCAATTATTCCTCTGTCTGAGAACCCTGAATCTTCTCCCTGTTACCATCTTTATAATACTTGAATCTGAACACTTTATGACTGTAGGGGCAAGTAAATAATTAAGTTGGGTTCAAAGTCTGTTTCTCTTTATGGATTCTCAGAGAAGACAGTAATTAGGAAAGACACCTTCTTAAGATCTAAGTGTTTATGTATGCCTAAGTTACTAGGTGGGGCCAGCTGTTAGTAACAGGGATGTAATTGCTCGAAGAAAGTCTGAGCTTATGCAAAAAGTTGTAGCTCATCTCACTGAACATTGTCATCCTCGAGTTAGAAGACTGTGCTTTAAATAATCTGACAGTCTGAGAATTGTGTTGGGGCAAGTCTGAGGAGAAGTTTGATTTTTATAGCGGCCAAAACATTGGAAGATTTCACACAACTTAAATAATGCTGTAAAGCCCTGGCTGGTTTGGCTCAGCGGTTAGAGCGTCAGCCCGAGGACCAATGGGTCGCGGGTTTGATTCCGGTCAAGGGCACGTACCTCGGTTGCGGTTCATCCCCAGCCCTGGTCGAGTAGTGTGACACAGAGGCAACCAGTCGATGTGGCTCTATCACATCGATGTTTCTCTCTGTCTCTTTTTCTTTCTCCCTACCTCCCACTCTATCTGATGATAAATAGAAAAATATCCTCGGGTGAGGAATAAAAAAAAAAAAAAACTGCTGTAAAAGTATTACTTCTCATTGGCAACCCAAGCCCAGAGTGTAAGGGTACCGAGCCAGCCATGGCAGGGGGAAGTTCTTTCCCTTTGAGAGTCTCACCTGAGGGGGCAAACCTTGCATTCCACTTTCAGGAATTAGCAACTGCAGATACCTATATTTTATTGCTTAAGAAATACATGTTTATGGCGTTGTTACAGTGTGAATTTTGTCTGGCAACTACTATAGTCCCAATTATACGAGAATAGAATAAAAGACTACTTATGCTTATTTGCACATTTTAGCACATTGGTTAAACACAACAGAGGTCAGTCTCTTACTAGGTGTGTGACTCCAAAAAGTTATTTAACCTCCATGAGCCTCAGGTTCTTCGTCAATACACTGGGGATGATAATAATGCCCTCCCTACAAAGTCACTGTGAGAATTAAATGAAATAAAGCACGTGAAGGGCCACACAGTAAGCCCTGAATAAGCAGTAACTATTGTTATTATTAACAGGCTGGGCAGGGGACAATACATCAACACAGCCTCACTACAGCATTGTTCCAGTAAGAATCACAACCACGAGCAGTTCCTGTTGGCTGGGTTGTGAGCACCATCCAAGCAGGTTTGAGTTGGCTTCTCTACGGTTCTAAGGGCAGGCTGTTTAATATTATCATTTAAAAATGAATTGATGTCTTGGTTCTGAGTCCCTCCAAAGTAGACCATAAGACAAAGCTTTGTCTGCAAATAGTTTACTTAAAGCTGTTCTTAGGAAGTGCAGTAAGGAAGTGAGACAGGGAAGGGAAGAAAACCAATACAGGGTGTGTTCATGAACAGGTTACTGCTGTGGGCAGCTGTCATTGTGGACCCTTAAACAAGCTCTATGAAACACACCTCAGGCCCTGGCCAGTTTGGTTCAGCAGTTAGAGTGTTGGCCTGTGGACCAGAGAGTCCGGGGTTCGGTTCCCGCTAAGGGCATGTACTTCAATTGCAGTTTTTCCCCGGCTCCGGTTGGGTCGTGTGGGTGGCAACCACTCGATGTGTCTCTCTCACTCCATGTGTCTCTCTCACATAGATGTTTCTCTCTCTCTCTTCCTCCCATTCTCCCTCCTGCTCTATCTGAAGATAAATGCAAAAATGTCCTCGGGTGAGGATTAAAAAAACAAAAAAACACCTCAGAATCAACTTATGAGGCCAAAGGAAGCTTGGGTATTTATCCACCAAGTTCTCTCCATCACTGGTTAAGGGTTACTCATGCAATGTTGACTCCCCAGCACCTCCAGCCTGCCCTGTGAGGGCAGAGTGTACTCTCTCCGTTTAGGCAAAGACACTCAGGAAGTCACCTGCTATGCAGAAGCTGTTTACAGGTGACCTCTAGGCTGGCCAAGGGGATGTGGGTAGGGCACCAACATCAACTTCTAAATTATATTAGGAAATAATGGTTAATTATTCTTATGTGTGATAATGGCATTACAGTTATATGGGAGAGTGTCCCTATCCTTTGAAGATGCCTGCTGAAATATTTATGGGTTAAGTGTCATGATGATAGAAATTAATTTTCAAATGATTCAGCAGAAATAAATAAATACACATGCACAAAGCAAATATAGCAAAATATTAACACACTGAATCTAGAATCTAGATAAGGCTGAATAGATATTCATTATACTCTTCTTTCAACTGTTGGGGGAAAGTATTTGCTGATTTTATTGAGTATCCTTTATGTGCTGAGTACTCAAAGCACTGGAGATGCTGTGCCATCCAAGCCAATATGGTGTCCTTTTTTTTTTTCATCCTCACCCGAGGGCATTTATCTTCAGATAGAGCAGGAGGGAGAGAGGGAAGGAGAGAGAGAAACATCGATGTGAGAGAGGCACACCAAGGGGTTGCCACCCACACAACCCCAACCAGGGCCGGGGACAAACTGCAACTGAGGTACATGCCCGTAGCGGGAACTGAACCCGGGACTCTCTGGTCTGCGGGCTGATGCTCTAACTGCCGAGCCAAACCGGCCAGGGCCAATATGGTGTCTTTATCATGAATTAACAAAAGACATGGGTTCTCAAGTCACTCTACTGCCATCTGTGGAAAATTGTTTTAATACCTATACAAATCTATAATGTTTACCAGATGAATGGTGCTCCCCGAACCCCACAACATTAAGTGGGTACCCTGGGAGATGCAAAGATGAGCAAAACAAAGCTCCTGGTTTTCAAGGGTCTTCCATTCCAGAGAGGAAGCACTTCGCTGGGGAGGGATTTCAGATTTTAAAAATGGTATCATGGCGCCCCTTCTGGAAAATCAAAGAAGTGACAAGATTTGTCCAAGGTCACAGATCATCCCTGGAACATTCCTCTTTCTAGAACTGATAGAGAGGAGAATCCATTTCGCGGTAAGTAGTTAAGCTTAGTAGTTAACCATTAAGCCTAAGATGGCTGGCTGGTTGGAGTATTAACAGATCCCAATACTTCACATTTTCCACAAGTAACTCAGGCCCTGAGAGGAGAGAGGCAGCCTCAAATCTGGAAATTCCTGGGAATAGAAACCCATCTGTTCCCCACTGTGCTCATGCCCATCTGAACAGAGCAGGGGGTCCAAGAGCTGGCAGCGGAGGCTGGTTTAAGTGAAGAGAAGAAGCTCTGGGGAGTCTCTAGGCACCTTTCCTTCGTCAGTGCTGATGAGACTCAGGAATCTCATCCTTAACAACCTACCAGGTGTGACTAACACCGTGGTCCAGGAATCTCATTTTGAGAACCAAAGGCTACAGGACTAAGCATTGATGAAGGTCATAAAGGTAGAAGCCCCTCAGCTATGTCTAGCACAATGCCTAGTGCATGGTGGCTACTGAAGAAACATTGGTGGAAGGAAGGGAGGAAGGGAGGGAGGGAGGGAGGAAGGAGACACAACCTTTATATCTGCTGTCACAACGTTGATGTAACAGAGGCATCAGCTCAGCCAATGGCTGGAGGGCCACAGGCCAGCAAGGTCATCTGGCCAGGTCACTGGAAATGCCATGAAGGACTTTAAAGTGAAAGAAAGGTTAGAAATCTGGCAGTCACAGTGTAGCCATGATAAATGGTCCTTTGAGCAGTGCAGGAACACAGCATGGTGACTTTTCCATCTAGAATCCAACACTAAAGTACTTAAACTTGGTCATGAAACTTCAGAATTTCCAGCTTAAACAGTGATGAATGATTCTCTAATTTCCCATCCTTCATTAGGATTCATTCCTCCATCACCAAAAATCTCAGACCTTAATTCAAGACCTAAAAGGCACCTGTCTAGGTTTGCCAAATTTAGCAAATAAAAATATAGGACATCCTGTTAAGTCTGAATTTCATGCAAAAAAAAAAAAAAGAGTATTTTTTTGGTATAAGTATGTCCCGTGCAACAACTATCCAGTAATTCACAACAAAGCCAATATTTGGGATACATTTGTATTTAAAAAATCATTATTAAGTATAAGTTAAATCATTTAGATTCAACTAGGTGTTTTACCTTTTACCTAGCACTCCTACATCTTACCCTCCCTATTTTTTTTATTTTTTACTTTTTTCTTTATTTATGTTAGAGAGACAGAGGAAGGGAGAAGGAGAGAGATAGAAACATCCATGAGACAAACATCAATTGGCCGCCTCCTGCATGCCCCCCACTGGGGATCAGGCCCACAACCTGGGCATGTGTTCTGACCCGGAATCAAACCAGTGACCTCTTGGTGCATGGGTCGAAGCTCAACCACTGAGCCACACCGGCTGGGCATACCCTCCCTAATTTTTAATAGATGAGGAAATGAAGTTCACAGAGGTAAAGGTGTTACCAGATGGGGACTGGCACCAACGGGTCTGCCTCAGGCCGGCCTGTAGTGTGTGGGTTCTTGACTTTGGGTAGAAAAGACTTCACAACACAAGTCCAGGTGATTTTGAGAGTACACTTATTAAAGCTGGGGAAATAAATAAATAAAGCTGGGGAGAGTAAAACAAAGGAAGGGCTGAGGGTCGAAGAAGCAACAGGAAGGAGCCTCGGCTGGGCTGGGCTTTGGCTCCCTAGAAGGTTATAGGAAAGAAGTGAGCCCAGGAGGGGCTGCTGGTAGCTCACTGGGAAGCCAGAGAAAAAGGGGGCCTTTTGACAGGACCTGGGGGTAAGTTCGGGATGAGCTGCCCGCTGCTCCCTGGTTTTAAGTCCCATGGGGACTCTTAGAGTTCAGGAGAAAGAACAAAGGTCATGCCTGAGAAGAGCCATGGACGTGCTCTAGAGCGAGCCCGGGGAGGGTCTTGAGGGGTTTTGTCTCTTTTCTAAGAGCGAGCCTCGCGAGAATCTTAGGAGAGGGTCTCAG